GTTGAAAAATATAAAATAGTACAAAATATTAATAAAATTCTGTAGATTATCTTATATTTTGATTCTTATATTCATATTGGAGAATATTTTTTGCTTTTTTTTCCACATTGAAATTATTGAAAAATAAAAATTTTAATATATTTTATTACTTACAAATTTAAAACATAATTAAAACAAATGCTAATTTCACTACATTGGAAATGGTTAGAATTGTATCTTAGATAATATAATTAAAATTCTGATAGTTTTATTAGGTTTAACTTTAATAAGAAACAAATCAGTTAATGCAAGTTGATTTTTTTTTAATTTGTTTTTCTTCTGTTTAAAGAATTTTTTAAAATTGTTTGTTTTAAAGGTTTGTTATTTATTAAATTAGGAAATTTCAAAATATATTTTTTAACATATTTAATAATTTACTGTAATATTTATCTGAAAATTTAATGAAACTTGGTGCTATAATATATTCACAATGCTAATTCAGGTAATCAAAAATATTTCATATGAAATCTTCTCAGTCTGATTTACTGAGAATGGTCTAAATTAGGCTGAAAAAGTTTCATGTTAAATATTTTTGGTTATTGAGTTTAAATATTTTGGGATTATTCAATAATTATTTTTTAATAATGCAAGTTTAATTATTTAAAAAGTTTTATATTGTAAATTCTCAAAATCCAAAATTTTTAATTATTTATTAGGAGCTCCCTTCCTCTCCTGCCATCCAAGTAGCCCAATGATGTCATCCCAGTGCGTGACACCAAAACATAATCTAGTTCCAAGTTTAAGTCTATTAATGCATGTTTTATTGAAAGTTTTGTTGCTTGCAAGATATTGTATGAATTTATTTCTTCCACAGTTGCTATTCCTATACCAAATTTTGCAACAGATGTTATTTTTTTGTATAAGACTTGCCTATTTTAATTAATATATAAACTTTTAGCAGATTTTGATTCTAAATGTTTGTTATCTTAATGACAGAATTTACTACATTTTAAATATAATGAAAGCTTTCTATTCCTTTGTTTAAAAACTTTAATCATCAACATTTACTATGTGTTTAATTCTTTAGGTTTAACTTCATAATATATATACTGAAAATGAAGACATTTTCTCCTAAAATATTTAGTAAATTCTCCAATAAGTTAATTTCTTATCAGTAATGCAAAATATAAATTTCTTTCATTTTTTTAGAACTAAGTTTTAATTGATCTTTCAAATTTTTTTAGAGTAGTAAACCAGCAGCTTTTGATGTAATTTAATTTCAGAAATTAAGTAAATAATAATTCATATTGTTTGTTGTTCACATTTGATAACTTTTTGAATGGAATTTGAGATTTTTTTTAATGTAAATATTTATCTTTTATCAGTAAATTAAAAATAAATTATATAATCATTTTATTGAAATAAGAATGAATAGTAACATCTTAGTATCATTGTTATGGAGACTGTTTAAATTAATGAATTCACAAAATAATGTTGAAATTGGGGCTGATGTGTTTCTTATTTCTACATAATTTTTAAACAAATAAGCAAGGTACAGGTATAGATATATAGTGTGAAATTTTTGTCAATCTGAATAAAAATATTAAGAGAGAATAATCTCTTAATATTTTATTTGGATTAAAATTTATTTTTTGAATATCACAAGGATGTTAATAACAAACTTCCAGATTAATTATTTTTCTATATTGCATGATTTAATGGGTAATCCTTACATATATTCTTACATGCATGCAATACATAACATACACACAGTATATTAAATATCATTTTTTAACATTTTATTGCACTTGGGCAATATGGATTAATATGGTTCACACAGGATTGATCTGAAATAATTGATCTTACTTTATAATTAAAATAAGCATTGATATGCATAAATCAGTTTTTTATGTGTATTCTGTAAGTAATAATTTATATATTATAATTTATTAGAAAGCTTTATGCTTTTGCATGCAATTTAATAATTTTTACTAAACAAATTGAATACGGATTGTATTTTATATAACTATTTAAATTCTAGAAATAATGTAATAATAATAATAATATGTTGTTTTTTTCATAACATTTAGACTAATCTAAGAATCCAAATAAATTGTTTCATAATAATGATTAAAATTAATTCATAAAATGTGTTTGCAAATGTTTTCTTTTTAAATTTGGTTAATGTTTTCATCCTTATGTTTCCCAACCATGAAAATAATAAAGGGCTAATCACCATACTTAGAGAAAGTATGGTGATTAGCCCTCTTTTGCATTTGTTGACATTTTAACACTCCAGGAGTCAAAACCCCTTACAAAATTATGCATATGCCCATTATTTTGCATTATATTTCAGGACTGGATGAACCAAAAATTTTAAAACTTAGCAAAATTATTTCTATATATGGGGACATTGATACACTTATATTTTTATGAATAAAGATCAAAGAGATGAGGAGTTAGGGGGGTCATGTGTCAAATTGGGTTGGCTTAATGAAAATTTTACTTGTTGTTGGCATTTACATTATTTTTAAAAACAACTCATCTCTCCCCAAATTAAGCCTTCTGCCTTTTTATGACAATAAATAATAAAAAAATTGTTTTTAAATAAAATATAAGATGGCGCCATACAACATTTTAACTTTAAGCTAATGTGTCTTAGTGTTTTTAAACATAAATATTTTTTTATGGAGATTTTTATTATAATTCAACAAAATTTTTCTTTTTATTGAGAACTTAGGAAGTCTGATAATTTTCAGACTTCCTAATGTTCCCATTAACTTCCTGTTCAATTACTAGGAAAATTGGGCAAGAGCTTTTGCCAGCTTTTATATTGATATTTAAATATGGTAGTATGTTCCTATTGTAATTATGGATATTGTTATCAGTTATATAATTTTATCAGGGTGAGCATGTCTCAAGATATCTTAGGACATTTACTATAGCTCAAGCTGTGATTACAATAAGTAATTATTATCTCAGATAGACATTTAAGTTGTTTTTTTTTACATTTTCAGCCTCACCATATGCCTGTTAATGCAATAATTATCATGTGCTATTATTATTCTTAACTAGTGCTTTGAACATTAAATGTTAATTAATAATCACTTTGTTCTTTACTCACAATATAATAATTTACATTGCTGGCACTTTTTACTTTAATTATATATTAGATGGATTACTATATTATGAATTTTCAAGTTATACATTTTTGAGTAGTTTTGATGTCCTTTTAATATCAGAGTCAGTAAAACTAGAATTTCCACTAATTTTATTTATCATCTCACTTATTGTCATCAGTCAGAATTACTATTATCATTATAGGTAAGTTTCAAAGTGATTACAATAAATGGATTCCACTTTACATATTTTAAACAACAAAATAATTTCTCATGAAATTTATGCAGAAATTTTATTCAAACACTATAAACTCTGTTTATGCTAAAATATATTGCAAATATAAAATTGTGATTTCAGACAAGTTAACAAGAAGTTTAAAAGACTGTTTTATTAACAAGTTTTCATCATATACAGATTTCATTGATTTTACTGCATTCATTTTTCTAAGTTATTATTAGATAAAACATTTACGATATAGTCAGAAAGAAACCAAACTTCTAATAGCCACTTTTATTATATATAAACAAGTTTATTATATATAAACAAGTTTTCATCATATACAGATTTCATTGATTTTACTGCATTCATTTTTCTAAGTTATTATTAGATAAAACATTTATGATATAGTCAGAAAGAAACCAAACTTCTGATAGCCACTTTTATTATATATAAACATTTTTTAAACTAATATCAACTTTAAAGTAAATCAACCTTGCCAATATTTCTGCTATCTAATAAAGTTTTCTTATAACTGTTATTTGTAATTTCCTTGGGAGAACTAGTCAAAACTTTTTTAAATTGATGACTCATCAACAATTTTAGCTTTGTAAACATTCAGAAATCTTCAATGACACGTCAGCAGAATGTTGGTGAATAATGGAATTTTGTCATTTAGTATGTATTCATTTACTAGGAATATGACTGATGTTTGAGAACATTATCATTTTAAAGAATTAGTTTTTTTTACCACAGATGAGATTTTTTTAGTGCATCCTTATTTCTGAAAGAAATAAATTTAGGATGCATTAATTTCTAGACAATGAAAAAGGTGCTTTCATATTGTTCTGTTCACACAGTACTATTTTAATAATAGTGAAAATGAAAATATCTAAGCTGATGATATAGTTTTTGGTCTTATATCATTAAAAGAAGTCATTTTAATTTTTTCCATTAATGAAAAAAGTTATTTTCATTCATTATAGCATTTGGAGAACAATATAAATACAAGCGTACCTTGCATTGTAAAGATTGATGTGTAAAAAAAAAATATGAGAAATTCCACATGATGTGTGAAAAAAATATGAGAAATTCCATGTAAGAAAAATATGAGAAATATTAACAAGCTATCTATTATTTATCTTAAATCTTTAAAAATTTTAAAATTAATCTGATAACAATCTCATTATTTTTTTGCTTAATGGGTTATTTTGATGCTTAATCTTGAATTATTTATGTTATATGTGGTACAAACTCATTTATGTTTTTATAAAAACAACTTGAGACTAAACGTTCATTGGATATGAATTATTAATTGATTTACAAACTTTTTTAAACCACTTAAATTATTCATGCATTTGAATCTACAGTGTGGTTTCATTCCCATGTGCTCCACAAACATATTGAGCAATTTATTAAGTTATTTAATTAATTTATTATAAAATTCATTTATTTGTGATTTGAAATATCTTTATACCCTACTGGTTTATCAATCTCATAAAGGATGTATTGAATAAGTTGAAGCATCTTGCTTGTAACTGATTTACTTAACATAGTTTATATATATAAGTATAGAAAGTTTGGTCTTTTCTAACTCATCTTTGAATATATAAAATAATTTAAAGTAAATAGAAAAGTGTTGTCTGTAATTATCAGTTTATTTATTTTAAATACTTATTTTTCAGAGTGATTTATGGTCTCTAGGTATTACTGCTTTAGAAATGGCAGAATCACAGCCACGTAAGTTTATGTAATTAATTAAACTTGAAAACTTTTTACTGATTATTGTATAGAATATTAAGCCATTAAGCTTGTCTAAACTTATATGAATATAAATAATTAAATATGCTAAATATATTATAAAACACTAATTTATTAAACAACATGAACTATTTACAATTTTTTTTAATATTATCAGATATGTAAATAAAATTATTTAGGAACTTAGTGATGAATTTACTTCAGATATTTTTTATCTTTTTCAAAGTCATTTGAAGGACAATACAAAAATTTTTTTATATATATATTAAAATTTAATCTCATATACACATTTCTTTGTATTTTATTTAAAAATAAAGTTAAATTAACAAATTTTATAAATCGGTGTTCTGGAAGTGTATTTATATGTTTTTTTTTCTTATTATCATTATATAAATAGTAGTATGATATAAATCAGGTTCTCATCCTGGTTACTAGCAGCCCAAAAGATAAATTACTTTGTTCAGTAAATCATGACAAGTTTTTGATTAGTGAACAAATTTATTATTATTATATTTAAAAATGTAACCAAAATAACAATACTGTAACTGACCTAACTGTCGGTACTCTCAATGCAAACCAATTTGACCCACTAGAGGGACCTTCCCAATAACCAAAAAACATTTTATGGCCCTTTGTCTTCACTTGTTCCTTTGTTCAGACTACTGTCTGTCAAAACGTATGGATGTTTGTCCTACTGTTATGTAAAAACTCATTTGTACATTAATTCCTTGATCAAACAAAGATACCTTAACCAATTCAATGTGTTTCGTCTGAGTGTCTCTTTGCTGATTCCAGATTAATGACAATAACTTCAAATTTTAGTAAAGTAAAACATGCAAATTTAAATTTCAAATTTATGTTTAATAAAAAAAATATTAATTTCTTTTTGGCTTATTAATTTATTATATTTAAAAGTTATTTTCATTTTGTATCAATTTTAGAAGGGGTGAGTAAATTAAATCTAACTTTGAAAAAGTGTTGACAAGCAAATGTTTTAAATCCCTGATGTGTAAATACTTGAAAGTTAATAGTTTTTAAATCTTTAATTTATTAAAATGTTTTTGATTTTGAAAAAGACTGAAATATTTCATTGACTAAACTAATGTTAACATTATGATGATGACGACAAAACTATATGATATTACTGACTGAATGAGCACTGTCTCTTTGAGAGATAGGATTTGAGATTTTCATACAAGATTAAATGTCCTAAACATGCAAAATTATAAAAAATACATACTAAGAACAAAAGTGCAAAAAATGTTATATTCCTAAAACAGACCAGTATATTAACATTAGAATGCATGCTCTTAGCATATACAGATATAGACATAAGCATATACATATACATTATGTATACTTTTATATTATATCATGAAATTTTAGCGTTGGAATATGTTTTCAAGATTTAGAAAACATATGAATAAATGGCATTTACATATGATTGAAACTTTTAGTTTTGTTTTAATTCTGGATTTTTTATAAATTTATAAATTCCGTGTTATAAAAAATATAATGAATCTGAAAACTGTAAATTAAAATTGTATATACTGGTGTGTATGTGATTTATAGTTTTCAGATATAATTCCTTAAACATACCTTTAAGTTTTTATTAATTTTTCATTACAGCTCTATGTGATATGCATCCAATGAGAGCATTATTTCTCATTCCAAGAAATCCACCGCCGCGATTAAAATCCAAAAAGTGGTCTAAAAAATTTCATAGTTTTATAGAAACAGTCCTTGTCAAAGATTATCAGCAGCGTCCTTACACTGATCAGTTATTAAAACATCCTTTTATTCGAGATCAGCCAACAGAAAGACAAGTGAGAATTCAATTAAAAGATCATATTGATCGATGTAGGAAACATAAAAGAGGTAATTGATACAATTTATTTTTTCATTATTTTTAAACGATTCTGATCTAAATAAAATGTTTATTGATGAGATCTTTTTAATTCAAGGAGTGTAAACCACTTTCAAAAGCTTAAAAATAGTTTATAAAATTAATTCTTTGTTACAAAACAGACCCTAGGCAATGTCCAAAGGGCCAAAAAAAAAAAAAAAAAGGCATAACAACTTAAATCTAATAAAAGAAATGATTTTAAATTTACAACTAACTTAAATAATGAATTAGTTTTATTACTATTCTTCATAGTGTATTTTATTAGTTTTAGTATGTTGTATTACAATTTTATTATTTATCATAATATAGTGTATTATCTTATAAATATTTTTCATTTACACAAATAAAATAAATTAAAATTAATATATACTTTCCTACTACTAATATTCAGACACTGGCAGATCAAGTGAAAAATGGTCATTAGGTAAGCATTACATCACTGTCAGCTATAAATACATTTGTTTGAAGTTTAAACATGCCATAGCAAGTGAACCATGCAAACTGATGTATTCAATGGAATTAACAGGCTTTCAGTTTTGATTTGTACTAGGTTGCCATATTTTTCAAGTATTCTATATGAAACATCACAGTCATTTTTGTTGTTCCAAAGTCCAGTTAATGATGATATATGCAGATGAAGAGAATCTGCAAAGAAATCTGGAAAACCTCCCAAACTGACAGAGTTTTGTGGAGAACTCTCACACAGATCTTGTTTTCAAGTTCTGAGAAAACTATCAGCACAAGTATGGATGATCAAACTTCTGCAATTGTAATTTCACTTTATGTAAATATAAATTGTCTTCTGTATGTGGATGATGTTCTTTTGATGGCAAATTTAGTTGTGGCTCTTCAGGAAAGATTAAATATACTTCAAGAATATTGTCACAATAAATATTTAATAGTTAATGTGGAAAAGACAAAAATAACGATTTTTTGCAGAGGAGGTAAATTTAAAAAATCAGATAAATTTTATTTACAGAAACACAAGTTGGAAGTTGTTTCAAATTTTAAATATTTGAGAATTTATTTTACCCCTCATGGTTCTTTTCTTTTCATTTGTAAAAGGTGATAATTAAGGCTAAGATAAAAATCTCAAATCTTTATAAATTACTTGTCAAAATAAAAGAATTTTCGCTTAATAACTATTTTAGATTATTTGATGTGTTAATAAGATTGAGCATTTTATATGCATTTCCAATATGGGGAAGATTGGCAGTTGATAAAGTGGAAAATATACTACTGTTCTTTTTTTCAAGCAAATTTTTTGTCTAAATTGTTCTGTGCCTGGGCCATGATGAGGATGGAACTAGGTAGACTACCTCTCTCTGTGAATTTATCATTGAATTTATTTTGTTTTTTGGAAGAAAATTACTGTGCTACCAGAAAATGATTATAGGCAACTGATATATATTAAACTTTTATCATCTAGTAAAATGACATCATTGGAAATGTTACCCACTACAATTGAGAATTTGTTGAACAATCTTGCATTATTGTTTAAAAGCTGTTTTGATTTTTCTAATGATAGAGCTTTCTTAACAGACTGCAAACAAAGGTCAAGATATATATACTGGCAATAAGATTGTTTATCTGCAAGAGAAGAATTTTATTTTTGAAATCTTAGAAAATATTGCTTTGTTTCCTTGGAATCCTTTGATTTATTTATTGTCTAATACAAATTATAAATTCAAATCACTATTTATTCAACTTTGTTTAAATATTACTCTGAATGGCAGAAAAATTAACATATCAAATAATGCTGAATGTTTGTTCTGTAAAATGATGATAGCAATGATAGTCAATCACTTGTTCATGAGTTGTGATTCTCTTTGTGAAATATGATCTAATATTTTTGAGATTGATTACAATTATACTAATTTATTGGAAGAATCTTTCAGTACGACCATGCTATATAAATTGTAAAATTTTTTGTACATTCACTAAAACTATTGTAATAACATTTTTATTTACTCCTTGTAAAAGCAATTTGCTAAATCACAAAACTTATTTATTATTATTTGATTAAAATATTAATATAAATTAAGAAATAAATTACAATAATAGAAGAGGCAGTAAAATGAAAAGAATCCAAAAAATTAGATCTTAAAAAATGTATTGAAATAATAGAAATTCAATAGAATGTATTAAAAGAAATTTGCATGATAATGTTTTATGTATAAACTAGCTGCAAAGACCCGCTTCGCTGGGTTTTTATTTGTTCGTACATTTGTATGTAATATAGTTTTTTTTATATATAAAAGACTGTTTTTCTAAGTAATCTAGAATCTAGCTGCAAGGACCCGCTTTGCTGGTTTTTATTTGTGGGCAAAAAGTAACGATAGTGAAGATTAAGATAATTACATTATAGCCAATCTTACCCGTTTTCACAGAATGCAAGAATTAGGTCCCCCGTTTCCAGACTAATTAGAGAATTTTTACGTCCAGTCAAACGAACTATTTTCAATTTGATCAATTTTCTGGAACGTTTACAATCGTTCTAT